CTTTCTCTCTCTCTCTCTCTCCTCCCCCGATTCTCCGATTCTTCAGGACTTGAGCCGACCCGTCGGAGCAGTCACCCCCAGCAGGGCCCTCGGCCGACACATCCGGGTTCTCGATCCTCCTCTCTGTTACTGGGGCGTTGTTAGCCTGTTAGCCTGTTAGCCATGGGGCAGGGAGGACAGAGGAACGCTAGGGGCTTTGCTGGGCGTTTTGCGACTGTCCCGTGCCGCGCAGGCGATGGCTCTCCGGGGGCCGGGAGCCCGGAGCTTCATCCGTCGTACCACCGTCTTCACTTAGTGGCAGTCGGGTTCGGAAGACTGAACCTCTTGTGGTGAGTGAGGGGGCGAAAACTACGTGTAGACCTTCTTGAGACACCCTCAGAGGAAGAAGGCCTTACTTTGGCTGTTTGAAAGCAGAGGTTTGGATCGCTTGGGAGCGGCCTGGTGGTCTCCAGCTCAGTGTGCAGAGTGATTGGTCTTGCGTCTTGAGATTTCAGTCTGCGGTTTGTCGCAACTTCGGACAGGAAGCTGCAGCACCCTCTCGCCATTGCCTATCGAGTTGCAGGAATCTGCTCCAGGTGCAAGCTTGGCTGCTGTCCGTAATCAGTAATGTTTCCGCGGCTCGGAGGCCTCTCCTGGCGGCTCTCGGTGGCGCGACAGCTCTGCCTCGCAGTGGACGCTCTGCACAGGTTCGTTGCGGGGAGCAGGGCCGGGTTTGCTTTCATCCGCTGGAGCCAACAAGACTGCAGGTCGGGAAAAGTGCATGGAAGCCTGTCCCCGCGCAATGTGCTGGCACGCTCCTCGGCCTGTTCACGTCCGCCGACTGACTCAAGTCGGTTCCTGAGGTCGCCACCACAGGTGACGTGACGATCCTGGAAGCCGGGCTCGTGGACGCGCTTTTGGAGGTTCGGTGTGTACGCGGACTTTGGACGACACTGCAAGCCTGTTTCCTTGTAAATTCTTGGATGGTGCAGGTGGATGCCCTGCGCGAGCACGACCTTCTTGGTGCACTAGGCTTGCAGTTCGCCCGCTATGCGGCCCCGGAGGCTGGGAGTAGGGACAGTCTTGGGTGGTTAGTTGCTCATTGGCCATCAGAGTCATCACCTCGATCATACGAGCTTTGCTTTCATGCTCGGTTGCCCTGCGAGCTTGCATTCTCACAGTGCATGATTCGTTCGAAGGCATGGATTCCGCATGTCGCTGTCACGCATCATCAGCGTCGCGAAGTCTGTCGAACTGCAGGGTTGGCACGTTCCCCGTAGCGGCGGCACAGCTGCAGACATCTTTGCTCTCGGCCTTGTCCTACTGGAGGCCAGGCTCTCATGTTGCCGATGATGGTGACACGGTGACACCACCTCTGATTTGGCAATGAACATCATGTTTGACACACTGCCAATCAACTACCCTCCCGTACAAGATGTTTTGGCTCGAAACATTTCGCAGATGTGAGCCAACATGTTGTCACCCTGGCAGATGACCCGGACAACCTCAATCGAGACGAGCTCTTCGTAACTGTGAGAGATGGAGAGCCGGCTGAGGCCAAAGAAGATTTTGGCGAAAGCGATTTGTCTTGGCTGCACAGCAGCCTGCAGCAAAACATGCTGTTCTTTGTGGCAACTCCATGTCGCCGCGGCTGTGAGTTTTGCGACAGACGACGCATCCGGTTGGGGGTTGACCTCGAGCAGGCTGATCAGGTTGGTTCTTATCGTCAGACACCGTTATTCTGGGCTGCGGCACGCAGAAACCTCAATGCAAACCTCGAGATGGTCAAGTCCCTCTAAAAACTTCGGTGTTGAGGTGCATTTCAGAGAGAACCTCAAGAAGACATCGTTATTCTTCGCGATCTTTAAAAAGCATTGGGAGATCGTGAACTTTCTAGCGATCCAGGTTCACTGCTCTCAACCAAGCGATACCGTACAAGAAGCGAGAACCAGCTTCGCCAACGGCCGGCCCCGCAATGAAGTGCATTGACGAATTAGCAATTGCAACAAGCCCTTCCGCCTTCACTCGGCCAGCGGTCTCGCGAGAAACTCGAACTACTCCGCTACATCCATGCATCACTCCAGAACAACACGCTAAAGATCGGACACTGCAAAGTAGACCGGCCCCACCAAGGCAGGGGACTTGCTGGTCTTTGGATTCAGGCTGCAGAGAAGAGCACGTGCAAACTCGGTTCATCCTTCACCAAGAGGAAGTTGCGCGTCCTGGACAGTCATGCTCATGCCAAGACGGCATGCGGCCAGCAGAAGATCAGTTCGTTGCAGATGGAGAAAAGGTATCAGCTGAAGGAGCATTTCAAAGTCTGACCCTGCCAAGGTTGGATCTGCAAGCAGGCTTATGGAATGTTTTTGGTCACAAAGGATTCGAGAGCACCAAAACCATCAGTGCAGCCGATGCAGGCATGTTCCGGCATCATTTTTAAGCTAGGCGGGTAGCGATGGTGGTTTGCACTCGTCATGGTCGTCAGAGTAGTGGGAATAACATTGCTCCCACGTGCGAGGTGTTCGAGTGTTGTGGACAGCCCAATCCAGAGTGCAAGAGCCTGCAGCAGCTGAGCGCCTGGGACCCGGCTTGTCAAGAAGGAAGGGCCGAGGGCCCGAGCCTAGGGGCCTAGTAACTCCGACTCTCTCCCCCGTCAAAGCTGTCGCAGCCACAGAGCGAAGCCACTTTAGCCGTCACGAGGAGAAGGATGGATCCTAGTTTGCTGGGTGCACGTTTCCAAAGATACAAGCTGGAACTTCATCTCTGTCGTTCAAGACCGTCTTTGACACTGTGTGGTTGCTCTGGTTTTTGCCTCATTTGTTGATCTGGCTGTGGTGGCTCCAGCTGCATGCTTGTAACATTTGCTGGCTTACCTTAGCATTGAGCAAGATCAGCTGCCTGAAGGCAAAGATGTTGCCCAAACGGGGCCATTGGCAACCGCAGGCTCTGCTGGCTCTGTCTGTGAGTGTCTGTCTGCTCTTCTGCAGGGTCCCGCACACGGTTTGTGAGCCTGCCAGCATTCATGAACAATACAGTCTGTGTGCACGTGTGCACATTTCGAAGTCGAGGTTGCCGTATGTTACAGACAGATGAAAAAACAGAAGAATTCAACAGGTGTTCTCCAAGCCAATCTGATTCATAACCTCTCGTACGAGGCACCGACCCGCCAGGAATCACAGTCTCTGTCTGAGCAGGTTAAAGCCAGCACCTTCTACGGTGAGCTGCCGCAGATAGCCAGGAGCACAATCGAGTTGTGCGCGGCCCTCAGAGAACCCGTTCAGTCGTCATACCGCATCTCATAGCGCTTTGCGTCCGCGGCATGGTCCCTGCTTTGGAAAGGTTTCCATGCCGACCCTGGAAAGCGTCCCTCTGCACAGGTTGCACACTCAGCTCTTAAAGGATGCTCATGCCTTCTACGTTCATTTTGAGATTGCAAAAACTCGATTGTACGCTCTCCTAAGTCTGATCTGCGAAGAGAAGTTGACGAATCCAGGACTACTATCCTTACTATCCGAGTTTTGGACTGTCCTTTCTCAAACCCCTTTCCACACGGCCAGCAATCTCAAATCTTCCACGTCAGACTCTTCCATCCGAAAACTCACATGTTCACGGATCAACAGTAAGCGCTGTTGTTCGCGCTTTGGGAGAGGGGTCCCAGACGAGACATTTGGGCATCCGCCTAGGAGCTGCTCTTCGGCCTCGCTGCACCTCCGGAAGTTGCGGAGGCTCATCTTTCACACTTATTACTAACTTATCACTTGTTGATCCTTGTTTGCTCAAGCCGAACTTACGGCACTTGCGGTGCGCAGAAGTTTGCCAGCTGAGCTTAGGTGGAGCAGCTTCAAGACATCACCTTCGCGCCCCAAGCCCAGTCCAGCACATCACGAACAAAGATATGCAGTTTCCCTAGTCGCAAGGGAGTTCAAGAACTTGCTGTACGGCTCTGACGAGTCTGATGGGCTCAAGTCGGGATCCACTGTGCCAGCCCCGGTTCCACCTGCTCGGCAGGACCTGTGTGCGAGAAGACACAGATAACGCATGCATGGATGGTTGAGGCGATTTCAGGATCAAGTGAGAAGCACGGATCCTGGTGAGAAATGGGAAAGGTCGGGGAGAGGCCGAGCGCAGTCAATCATGGCCACTCTAGAGAGTCTCCAGTGGCTTGCGAAAGCAGCAGCGAAGAACAGCGATGGCAGCGCGGTGCTGCCTTGTTATGGTACCGATCAGATATTCTGGAAATACCCAGGTCTCAGCAGGACTTGGACGCAGACTTGAACGCCGAAGTTGCCGAGGTCGGTGGTGGGGACAGCGTGACATGGCATGAGTCGGAGCATCATCAAAGGTAGCTGCACGATGCATTGCCCTGAGGAGCAAGGCATGAAACCTTTGGCAAAGCCGCCGAGGCACATGCCAGCGACCAAGATCTGGAAAAATCTGGAGTGGGCGGAGAATTGGATCGATCTGCGCATGCGCTAGCAATGTTACATGGCGCATCATCTACCAACATGTCGGAGCCACATCGCCATGCGAGGTCCTGGCCCTCCGGGCCACGGCCGGAATTCCGGGCGAGCCCTGCGAGACGTCCCGGGGACCAGGATGTCCCGGAAGAGAACGGGATGTGTCCCGATGTTTCGGAGAACCGCTGCGCCAAGCGCCCCAGAGCCTTCAGCGCGGATGATGCCGAAGGGCTTCTAGAGCCCCCGCTGCAGCTTCCTCAGATGAGCCATCGTTGTGAAGGAGTGTCTGTCAGAGAGAGCGAGCGAGAGAGAGAGAGAGAGACTATCGATCTGGCGACTGCTCTTCCTTTGGCTGTGTGGAGGAAGAATATCGATCTCCGAGGCCTCCGCCTCCACCACAGCTCAGGTGCCAGGTCAAGGCGAGCCCCCGAGCTCCCTGTGCCCTCGCCTCGTGCCTCCTTTCGAATCTCCGACCGCCGATCCAAAAGTGCTCAGAGGTCCGACGGCCAACAACGCTGGAGGCCACGGTGGAGGAGCCACATCCTGAGAAAGTCAGGACACTCTACTTGTTGACGCCTGGGCATTCACGCTTCGGAGATGTGGCAATTTAGGCACTTTGCCATTCTCCCACGATTCCTCGCGACTCGAGACAGAAGAAGAAAGCAGAAGTGCAGGCTGAAAGCACTCCACGCAGGCCCAAAACGCCCCACAGCTTTCCCCGAACTCGGTCCGCCGCACGATTGCCGAATCGGCTCACACTGCCTGCCGCTGGTCTAACGAAACTTGTCGGAGGGAGTCCCCTGCACTTCGCGGAAGCGCAGTAGGGCGACAGGGGCAGCAGTGTGCTTCCTCAGCCTGAGGCCCAGTGCGCTGTCTCCGCTCTCCCCGGGCCCACCGCCACCACCACCGCCACCACGGCCACAAGTGCCGTGGGTCCACTCCCTGGAGCCGCCCGCCATCGAGGCCATCTTCAAGACTTTTGATTATTTGAAACCACACCCTTTCGAGTAGGTTGGACCTCGTGCCCTTGGGAAGGCTGGTTTGCCAGAGAGGGCCCCTTCGCGCAAGTCCAGGCCGCCGCCAGCCACACAGAGACCCTACTAGCACTTCACTTTTTGCGCCCGCCGGATGTTGGTGAATAAGGTCCCCTCCTCGTCAACTCGACAGGCAAGAGGAAGCCAAACAGGCAGGCAGGGCTCCAGAGGCCGGAAGCCCTTTCCACTTCTTGCGCTTCTTTGGTCCTGGATGTTTCAGGAGAGCATTGCTGAAATGTGCTCAGGGGTGCTCTCTGCAGCCGTTCTGGCCGACAGGCTGCCAAGTAGCAGGTCGGCCCGTGACGACTCTCGGGCACAAAGTTGCCACAACGTCTGGCCTCGGCAATGTCACAGAGGCATTCCATCTACTACTGGGTCACAGTGAGTGCGGGCTGGGTGCTCGGTGTAAAATGGGCCTGGACTGAAGAGTCGGCATCACCCCCCGAAACAAGGCCAAGAAATCGATCACCTCGATCCCGAAACAGTTGCATTTCGATGTGGCGTTCCGGCGACTCGGCCCACAGAAGCAAAACTTCTGCGGATGCTGGCTGTAGTGGCGCTTCTGGGCCTGGTCAGTGTGATTCACGAAGCCCCTTCAACAACAGAGGTAAGGGAGCTCTTCAGCTATTGGGAAAAGGAGGTGAACTGCGATATTGTGCGGACCTCGGACTTGGACGGAGAAACGTCTGCTCTGCTTGTTCCAGCCAATGCCTGCTCAGTCTTCCATTCAGGCTGTGAGGACACTTCCGCGGACATTGATGCTGATTATTTGCTTTGCTGCCATGCTCTTGGTCCATGAGGCACAGCACATTTCCCCCAAATGTGTAGTCTGTGACCACACTTGCAGCTGCAAGATGAGTATCTTTGATGATTCCTGCACCCCCCAACCAACCTTTGTAACCCCATGAGCCCCATGCTTGTCGGCAGACGGTGGCAGAGACGCAGAGCGTGGAGCCACTTGGATTTCTTCAACTCAGCCAGAGCTACAGTTTGCTTTCTCCCTTCGTGCCTCGATTTCTAAGCATCGCAGCAGCCAAGGAAGGCCATTCGCTTCGATATTGCATCTGAGCTGAACTGGTGTAATGGGGATTCAGGAGTTTGTGTGCGCTGGCATTCTGCCTCGGCGGACAGCATTCTGCACATTTGGGCGTGCTTGAGTCTTGCGCATGGTCACATGCTACGTCGTGACAGGAAGAAAATGCAAACTTCGCCTTCAATGATATTGCCACGATGGGTCACAAGAACTACAAGGATGCGCACCGGTGGCACAAATCAGGGCTCTTTAGATCCTTTGAAGCCGAAGAAATCACGGCTCGTAACACCTGCGCCATCTAGGTGAACAGCTTCACAGACTTCTATTCGTGGCTTCGATTGGGCCGCAAGCTCAGCATCCGCACCCCGCAGGACATCTGACCATGTGTCAGCTCAGGTTTTGCTTCCATCTATTTGCCTCAAAGCAGCTCCATCTCCGAAGGCTCCACCCTACCTAGTGCTGCTTCGATGCAGTCAGAAGCAGGTCGCAAAAATGCTTAGGCGGTAAGATCAGCTATAGCAGGGCAGGACGTGCTTCCACTTTCGAGTTGCTCGAAACTTGTGCCGATACAGTCCTGAGAACGGGCCGCATTCAGGCAGCACTGTCGGTCCGGGATATGTCGGAGATGCCTTACCTGAATTTCAACCGTGCCTTGGCGCTACGACACGACGATACTGGCAAACATCGCAGCAAAACTGACGGAGACGGCAGCAATTCTACAAGTAGGATTGCCACTTGTACTGATATTGATGATTGTCTTGGTTCAGACTGATGGCAAGCATGGTAAGGATAGTAGTCTACGGAGAAGTAAGTACAGTGAAAGTACGACTACTCGGCGTCGTCGTCGTCGTCCTCGTCGTCGTCGTCGTAGTAGTAATAGCTGTCTACGAGGAGTAGTATATGTCGTGGTCATTGTGTCAGCAACCCGGACGTTCATAGCCTTAGTGTCACAATGTGCGACGGAGCGAAGCACAAGACTGATAGTCATCACGTAGCGATACTGTAACAGAAACCATGACAGTTTAACAGCGAGACCAATTGTCATAAACATACACATCTTGTCAGAAAGGAAAAGGAATGTCCCAATTGTGCTCCAATGGGAGTTCGCTTGCTAGACTTTACCATCTTCGCTACAATCATTATCACCATGGTTTCAAGAACAAGCACAACAAGACCAATAAAGCCCAAGGAGGGTAAGACCAAGACACATGCCCTTGCTCCAGGTAAGATCGGTCCGGTCAAGCTCGTAAAAGAAGTGGCGCAGGTTGGGGCATGCAGAAGTTTCAGCAAGGGGACAGGGGATGTCTTGTGAGCGTCAAGCAGTGCCAGTCGCTTGTAAACCCTCAGGCACATTGACATAGAGCCCACAGAGCCCTGCAGACTTTTGTATCACAGGCAGGCACCTGTCCGAACACCGAATCGACAACTCGGACGTGCTACGCGCCAGGCATGCGGTTGGGTGAGGAGTCTCTCACGTCGTGTCATGTTACTGAAACTCACCCCCAGTTGCTGGTGTATGTGCATGTCAGATGCTTGCTGTACTGAGTTCTTCCAAAAGTTGCTACAGCCAACTTCCGAAGCCATGTCTGCAAGACATGGCAGGCACAGACTTCGTGATTCATCCGACAGAGTTTGACATGGCCTTCACCAGCTTCGAAGAAGACACCAGCGCCAACGGTACCGAGTTTTGACTGCATTTCTGCATTCGAATTCGGCGGCTCAACGCTCGTTGAGTTTTTTGACGGGTCTTTGATGTTGCCATGGGGTGCAGCAAAGTGGGAGTTGCTAAGGTTTGGCTCTCGCTAGTTGAAGACGTAAATGCGCAGATAGATGCGATGGAGCGATCTGGATGGCTGGCCGCAGATACTCGCAGATGGAAGGTGCGGTCGTCTTGTCTTGACTTGTGACATGGCAAGTGTGCTTAATGGATCTTAGTGGTTTAGTCGTTCGCCTGGGCAGCTTACCTTCGTCACGTACAACGCAGACTTTGACATGCTGACAAGCACAGACATTCACTTCGTTCTCTCACGCTCCGGGCGAATCTGGAAAGAGATTTCTTTCATGAGCCTGATGCTGTCACCCTATGGAAACCTTTGGGGCCTGGTCTGGGAGATATTGTTCTTTGGAAGCATCACTTCCATTTTTATCGAAGAGCTGCTGGAGATCTTCCGGGGCCCGAGTCTCAAAGATGTGTGGCTAGAAGCAATGCACGCTTGCCCGTGCTGGCCGCACGATGGACCTAAGTTGATGTAAGGCGTTTGCACACGATCCTCCGATGGGAAATTCCGCTGCCGTTGCGGATACTTCCTCATGGACTATTTCACTGTTTGGAATGTTGTGGACTGGTGTTCCATCATCGTCGCCTATACCCTACTAGGCACTGCGCATACTGGGCGCTGAGGGTCTTCGTGTTTGTGTGTATGCACATGATGGTCATTGAGGGAAGCGACTTGGCTCGTGTGCCCCAGGCATGTGGATCAATCGGTGCCTGATGGTAGCTAGCCTTCGGAACGACCTGAACGGATTAGTAACAGCCTGCGCGGACGTTGACGACCGCGACCTCTGCAAAGATCTGACCGGTATCTCAGAAGAAGTTAAGCTAACGTCGTCGCGAGGGATCTCGGAAGGGCGCCCACGTTTGCCAAGAACTGGTGATGCAAGCAGCCGCCGACACGGGTGAGGTTTCGGCCAGGACTGCCGGCCTGCAATTTGCTTCATGTGGCTTTGGGCTTGGCATTTGTGGTCTCCCGCACCGGCACGAGGCACTGCAGCATACAGTCATCTGGTAGGATCCTCATACGCCTTCAATGCTCTCTCCATCTTTGCCTTGTCTTCGCATCTCTATGCGCGCATCTTCCGGATGTGTACTCCCTGTGACAAGACACGGGTTCGAGAGTTTGTCCCGCTCAGCCGAAACAATCATTGCACCAACAACACCAACATCCGCCGTCTGATTTCTGAGCCTGCAGCTGGTTGAATGTGTCACGGGGCCGGGAGAGTTCTTCGGCCTATCATGTGAAAGCTCGTGTCAACCGTTGTTTTGCGGGATATGTTTGTGTCTCGGGTCTGTCCAGCATAGTTCGGCATAGTCTTTGCATTTCGAACCCCTGACCAGTACCAGCCTGGCCTTGCGCTCAGAGACGGCATTGCAGTGCACTGCGAGGGCTCGCAAAATGTGCTGGTTACCGCTGGTTGGCTCAGGTCAGCAGCCCGGCCCTTGGCGACATGAACACCAGAGGTTGCTTCCGTCTTTGTTGCAATGTAGTTTCTTGGGAAGTCAGTCAGACAAAGGCTTCTATCCCTTCTGCATCTTGCTACGGCTTTTCAAGACGTTCTCACTCCAGCCGCGGCTGGCAGCCACTCTACCAAAGATGGGCGTAGCCGCACTGTGGTGACGTGCAGACTCCCGATCTGCTTCCTTGCACCGCCATCTGCGACAAAGGTGGTTACCAGAACTTTGTGGATGTCGTTTGCAGACTTGGCTTCTGAGCTAGCGCTATGTCAGCTACGCCAGCTTTGGACAGTTGACCACTGCCATGAAGGGGTCCTCCCGCCCCCGATGCATACGGCCCAGGTTCACTTCGGCATCATCTTCTTTTCGGTGTTTGTCACGTACGTTTTCATGGCGATGGGTTTCTTTGGACGAACAGTCGAAGGCGGGACTTCATGAATGGTTATGTGGTTCCAAGTTGCTGTCCTGTCTGATTATATATCTTCTGTAGGTTGAGCATGGTATCCAGTTTGCACAGCACATCCGCTTGTTCACCGACGCCACGCAGGCTATTCGGACTTTGGAATCAGCTTCATCACGCTCTTCCGGTCTCTGATGGGGGATGCAGATTTCGTCGCTATGGAAGATCAGGTCGGTCGAGCCATTGAGACTTTGCTTGAAGGAGTCTTGCATACTTCCTTGTCCACATCTTGCGTTGAGTTGCAGCCTGAACACTCCAGAATTTCGAGAGGTGGGAGTTTCGATTCGGGTGCGTCTAGTGACTTTGGCGCTGTCTACTGATTGGCGGGCTCACTTCGCGCTCTGGGCATCGTTCTTGTGCCTGCATCCCTTCAGCTTTCGCGGCTGTCCCCAGTCCAAACAAAGGCTTAAACACCTCTGGCAAATACTCCACACATCTGGGCCGACACCAGTCCTAGCTGTACAAGTACCTACAGTACACTCTAGTTTGCATGTCTGAGATTCATCTTAGGCCGGTGTTTTCCACATCTCCTTCATGCTCTGCATGCTCCTGATTCTCTTGAACATGTCCGAGCCTTGTTGAGAGCTGGGGTGCCAGCTCTTGGTCACTGAAGTTTCTATTCAGGCTCATTGCAATCATCATGGATGTTTATGGTGAGACGAAAAGGAGTGTGCCTTGTGCTGCAGTCTGGAGGTTCTGCATGCGCGCGTCTCACACGCATGACACAAGTTGAAGTGATTGGAATCAGGCACAGTTCAGCGATCCGGTGTGGGACGACATCACCGATGCTCAGCTCGATCAATCGGCTCCCACCAATTTTCCACTAGCACCGACCTTTTGAATCTCATGCCACCTCGCCGGCTAAGGACTTCTTCCGGCGCTGGTATCACGCCCGCAAAGGCGCGACAAGTTCGCAAGTCTCATCACTCCAGTGTCGTGTGGATGATGGTGGACTGTTGCAGGCGATCGCGTCAGCCTCAGTGAAGCCAAAGACACCTTCATGGCGTATCTGGAAGAAAAGGCGAGGGTTCAGCGCCGCAGGGGTCGGCACGAGCGCACAAGTCGCTGGCACGCACACTTGGAAGACAATAGCCGAGATTGTAGTACGGATGGTTGCAAGGTTCAGGTTTCCTATTGCAGAGTCGGATGTCAGAATCGCTGTCATGGAGAATCGAATCTAGAAAGGCTTGGTCGATGCTCAACTGCTCGTTCTTCGCAGGCAGAGGAGGAAGTGGAGGTTCAGGCCCATCCTGGGGCAGTTCCAATGGATGCGCTTGCCTATGCTTGCCTTGCAGTGTTCGAGGTGGAAGGAGCACCTGAGCTTCAAAACAAGAAGTCCATCTTCGTGGAGCTGGAGGAAAGTGAGGAGATTGTAACCGTGAACGATCTCATGAAAAAGGCATCACCCGGAAAGTTCAAGAAAGTTCCACGTGTCCTGCGGGTCCTGCACACCAGCGACACCCCGAAGTGCAGCTAGCAACATCGCCAGGTGCCAAAGATGAGCCAAGAACAAGCTGAGCATTCCATTTTCGAAGCTGTGAAATGGTTTGCACGGTCCTCAGCTTCAAAAAGTGCGGTGGCGGACGATAAAGACGAGAGCCACGGAAACAACAAAATGATGTCCACAGTGGTACTCAAGCCAAGAGGGGGGCAGCAAATGGCAGGAGAAGAATGCTGACATGGAGGTTCCGACAGTGGAGGTGCTGCGAGGCAACTGCTGCTTCCTTGTAGTTGTAGCAGTGAAAGCTCAATTGGATCCACTCACACGCAAACTGGCATGACCTGTCGCTGGGGCGAACTAGCAGACTTTGGTGTGCCGCTGGGGGCAGGTGTCAGGCAGCTGTGCCCAGGAAGCAGTAAGCTTGCAATTCTTGAGTGCGCTCGCCCATAGGATGCCATAGGGCAATGTCCTGTACCTGAAGGCAGCTGAAGTTCGGCTGTCAAACCAAGCTCCACCACTCGAGCACGAGTGTGCTGATACTAGACGAGGCGAGTCTGAAGGGGGCCTAAGACCTAGAGCTTCCTTGGGCCAAGAGCAGTAGGAGCGGGGCAGCGGGGCGTTTTCCGGTTCTGCTGCCAGGCGTCCGGGAGCGGCCCTCCGCGCTCGGAGGCCGAGTCGGAGTCGGCGGCCAGAGAGGAGAAAGCCATCAGAAGTGCTAGGCCCTTACAGGCCCCTAGATGCGAGCATAGTGACAGGAGAAGAAGGATCCCCTGGTGCAAGCGGCCTTGGGGTGGAGCACTCAGAGAGTCACCGGGATTAAAGAGGATCTCTCAGTTCCGCGGGTTCGCCCAGGCCCGGCCTTCGTAGCCTGGTCAGCGACAGTCTGCATCGTGTGGAGTTGGAGGGTGGCCTGTCCGTCCGTCGCTTGACTCCAGGCTTAGGTGCAGCATCCTTCTTCGTCTTTGTGCTGTTCACAAGATGGGAACATTTGACAAGTATGTTCGGTGTCGAGCCCGGACAAGCGTACCATGACCATCTCAGGTGCGAAGAAGATGCTCACACAGCTCCTAGACACTGCGCAGACTATTCTCGAAGAGGAAGGTGTCGAGAGGAGGCTTTCCGATGTCGCGCGCCTCGAACAAACGGCGATTTTGCCACATCTCCTGCCCACAGGCTGTGACCCGATGGCCAGTGCGAGGCTGCGGCGTTGTGTGATTCGAGCGCTCTGCGCTGCCTGAGGCGATTTCCTCGCGCAGGGTGTTCTTCTAATTACATGCAAGCCTCCCCATTGTCTCACCGGCAGTGTGAGGTTTCTCACTGTCAGGGCGGAGTTCCACTTCTGCGGTTTTAATATTGTGGGCTTTTGCAGGGTCCTGAGGACGCTTTTGCAACGCGTCGGCATTGAAAGTCAACTGCCAAGCAGTGCAGACAGAGAGTATCAGAGAGTGTGAGTAGTTCAATTGCGCAACGACACGACTTCGCAGGCACCATGAAGAAGTGGTGCCAAAGCTTTAGCAGCCGTGAAGGAGAGTGGAGCAGACATGGGGAGCGCCCCTGCGCAAAAAATGCATCTGCCTGGCTAGAAGATGCATATGGCAGTCCTTGTCCAAAGGAGAAGGGTCAAAGTAAGCTTTCCATGCAGGTGCCATTCCGCAAGCGGGACTTCTCTCCACCACCTCCTGAACCACCAAGGTGAAGTACTGCTCTTGTCAACCTTTAGCACTTTGGCATGCAAGGTGGGTTTTTCCAAAGCACATCAGCCGCAGAGGCCTTCACAAGCAATGCCAATGACGACGCTGTGGCAAATGCCTATGCCAGTGTCACCCTCGGCATTGCTCAAGACTTTAATCGTGTCCCGCAGCCATGTGGCCTGAGGTGCTTTACACACCCAGCCCACTCGATCTTGGGCCAATGACGAAGGTGTGAGAGCTTACGCTGGCCAGATCATCAGATTAGTTTGGAATGTCTTTTCTTCATAGTTGTTCGTAGACTGACATGTGCAACACAGCAGCTTTGTACCCTGAGGATGTTACAGTACATAGGTGTGCACGACATGAACATGGCCGTCAGTGGCTTGCCATCTGATAGCAAGTCTAGTTATTGACTACTAGTTGCTGAGAGCTGCTGCAAACCTCTGACGGCCTGTGTAGGTAGGACCGGCCAGTTGGCCATCTTCTTAGCGCTGGCGTAGCTGAACTGATGCCCCAGAAGTCATGGAGGGCTTTTGATCGATTGCCGGCACCGGCTTCGGGCTTGAGGGTCTATGCTTCTCAGTCTGAGCTAGTAAGGTGTTAGTTGGGAACACAGGTTGGCCCATGTCAGGCCGCACAGATAGACGATTAGACGATATGTCGTAGAGTAGAGTGATGTGCCTGTGAAGGCTGTGCATGGCATTGGACTCAGCGTCCATCTTCACAGCCGCTGTCGGCAACGGATCTGTTCAAACACGGCACAGTGCCATTGTACTCTTAGGAAAGACTGGAAGGCATTGCCGTGCAAATAAAAAGCCATGTAGGTTCCTCAGACGAGTCGGTCATGTCCATCATGACATTCGCTCATGTCACGAACCATACCATGCTGTGGTAAGGCTCAGGGCAGCCCGACGTTGCTGGAATCCCAAGCCAATAGGCATGCCAGTCTAGATTCTAGATGTGTACGGCATTGCCGGAAACAAGAGAGCAGGGAGAGCACTACTTGCGTACTCACGAGGCAGTATCGAGGCCAAACTTAGAAGTATGCTTAATTTCGACCAGAACAACCTTGTAACTCTTCGCAACTCTCCAAGCAGCCTTGGAAATCCGAGTCTTATGCAATGAGTCCGGATGTGGTTGCCGAGGCGCGCACAGTTTGTAAGTGAGAGCGGCAGCAGAAACCGGATCGGTTGGTCGGTGCTCCGATGAGCGCAAAGACAACCACATCTTTTCTAAGCCTTATACGGTATACGCATCATACACCTCATATTCCCAGGGATGAAGAGAGGCCGTGAGCCAGACATGACACAGAGACAGATTTTGTCGCGAGGCCTTGGCAACTGCAGCTTTGGGTGCTGAGGCAGACAAGAGCGAGCCTCTTGAGGCGGGGAGTCGAGGGATCGCACATGCTGAGCGGTTCTGAATGAATGCAGCCTGCATCGAATTCTCGAGCTGACAAAGTCTCAGCTTGCAACAGCCTTTGCAGCTGGCTTTTGCCAGACAGTGAGAATCCGATGCCCATATTTGGTTGACAATTTTTGCTTTGGAAAAACGACTGGGTATGCATTGGGAACAAGGTGGTAGTGTGCCCAAGGAATGTGTAGCTGTAGCTGCTGCCGAGACACGAAAAAACTTCAAGTTCAACTGTCAACTCACTGATTCGGATTGTTGTTTTGAGGTTTCGGCCCCAATCTTTTGGGTTTGTTCTCCGCCCTGGGGTGACATCTAGCGATGAGACGTCATGAAGTAAGGTGGAGTGAAAAAGCCTGCTGAGGTGATTCTTTCTCGCCTTGATGAGTCTAAGCGCCAAACGCTCCTGCCTGGGCAGTTCCCTATGGAGGCTCCTGCATTCGATTCCAACAGTCCAGAGATGTTCGGAGTGGTAGGTTGCACGCCTGCATCAGGCGGGCGAAGTGTCGGCCTTCGCCGTGAGTCGCATGCCACGAAGGATCGACTTGCGAAGCATTGCGAAGCATCCGCTTCACTTGGGGAAGTGGATGTTCTCCATTCCATTCCGACTCCAGAGTGTTTCGTTCATCCTTGTTCTGGTTTCGGGGGAAGGGCAGCCTGTCGGAGGCAAATTGCAGGGAGCGGCCCTGGCCTGGCCAGACACCCAAAGCCCTTCTCTCCGGCCCGCACGACTGGTGGCGCCTTCCTGAGCTCAGGCCGCAGTCCCGTTTCGGTCTTCAGGTACTAGGCTTCGGCTTAGTGTTTGAGTGTTCCTCTTTGGCTTTGGATCGGAAGCAAGGAACGGTGCAAAGTTGGAGTGGAAGGAAGGAGGGGAGGGGAGTCCGGGGAAGAAGTGTGGAAACAAAAAACACTGCAAGAAAGAACAGCAAGGAACACCTCGATGAACAGAGACGCAAAGAACAAAAAGCATATCAACATATTAAGAGCGAAGACCGGAATGCCACCAATGAAGATCAACAGCATGCCAACGTCAGTGACGCGCATAGTTGCAGCACCGACGGACGCAGTGCCAGGTTGCTAAAGTGAAGATAACCCAACCACTGGGTGTGAGCGGCGGCAATCAGTATTATCCTAAATTATCCTACTGATCACGGAGATGCGGCAAGACTCGAAGTGCTCGACGAACACCTAAGTATTCTCCACACCATGCCACGCCTGACGACCTCCCTAGGATAGCAATAGGAACGTTGATAGTCATGGTGGTCGCAGCTGTTTGCGGTAGTTGCAGAACTTAAGGGAAGCACATGCCTCAAAGCAGCGAGAAGATTATGTACTGAGTTATACACTCACTCACAGCGCAATGATCACGAATCCGAATCAAAATAGTCATCGCAGTCGGAACAGCCGTCGCAGTATCACATTCATAATCGCCACAGCAGCGATAATCGTGGTGCTCATCATCTTCATAGCTGTCACAGCTGCTTCATGCATCATGTTTCCTACAATGTCGGAATGGTCATAAAAACGAGGGAAATCACAAAGATCGTGCCAGGGGACTGCGCAGGTCATCTTCCCCAACGTGACCTTACCTCCTGGGAGCAGCAGAAAGCAATCATGCCAGCATTCCAAGTTGGTCCTTGGACGAGCCCTCTTTGCCGTGGTATCTGCAGCTCAGCTCTGTGGCAAAGGCCTGAGAGAAGTTGGAGCCAGTCCGTTGCGAGCTCAGGAGTCAGCAGGTTGAAGCTTTCGGAAACAGAGACCTTGAACCTTGCGAAGCCTGGCCTATCACGCCCCGGTGTTACGGTTGCTGTTCCGTGCGGTCAAGCTCCAAGTGCGGTCTGCAGGCCATAACCTGTGTTGTGCGCGATGGCGCCGAGACCTTACTAAGCTGCTGTCTGGCTGTCTGAAGGGCAACACGCGGAAATCTTGATTTCAAGTTGGAATCCTCCCTTCTGATCGATGCAAAACTTAAAACTGTGAAATGAGAGCCTGCCCTTTTCCGAGTCGATGTCAGCCCCGGCATCACCGCAGCGAATGCGGTGCATTTTCACAAAAACGCAAAGCCGGTTCCTCAACAGTCGACAAAGGTAGCAAAAGTCATGGGTTGCGAGTCATGCAGACTGCCTAGAGGTCACGGCTCTTTTGCTACTCGGCCGGCTGAGACGGCCTCCACCCTGGAGCTTCTGTCGACTTGAGTTGAAAGCCGCGCTTGCTGAGTGCCACATGTCAGGCAGAAGGCTTCTTCGATGATGTCCGGGTGCTGAGGCTCGCATCAATGAATCAAGCATGGTAGCGGCCTTTGTTAACAGGGCCCCTACAGCCATGATGCACCTTAAGTTCAGGAGTCGTGGGGTCGTGGACAGCCAGCAAGGTGCGTACAAACATTGCCTCAGCTGATGTTTCGATCTTCTCTGGCAGAGGCTCGAAGCCACGGCTCGTCGCTTGCTAGCAAGCGGAGAAGTGTTCCTCAGCAGTTGCGGTCCACGTCTTACTTCCATGGAGGCATCGCCGGAGCAGCAGTGCCAAAATCCATCGGTTCAGACGAGGTTGCCGACGGTGCCAGTGAAAGTCCGTCCGCATGGTATGCTCCGATAACTCGAATCGACACAGAGGTAGGACAAGTGAAATTTGACAGGAGATCCAATCAGTTACAGCATGGGCCTTCAGCTGGAGGTCCGTTTGCCGGGCGTCCAACCCCAAGGTGCACATGTCAGACCTTCTTCTGCAGAGCCGAGTGTGTCTGCCTGTCTACTCCGACTGTTTATTTGCTTCGTCCTCTGTTTGGCAATATTTCTCAGTGAACCTTTGTCCATGAGTGGCATGGATGTGTGCGCGGACGTATAGTGGAGGCATGCACACAGGCAGGCAGGCAGGCAGGCAGGGAGGCAGACAGTCAGGTGTGTATGTATACATATGATCGTATGTACGTGTACTGTAGGTATGTATGTATGTATGTATGTATGTATGTGCGCATGTATGTATGTATGTATGTATGTATGTATGTATGTATGTATGTATGTATATCCGCGTGTAACGTATGTAAGTGTGTGTGGCAATCATGTGTGTAGTTACGCGGTTTGATGACTGAAGTCATGTATGTAATCACGTATTTAACTAGGTTTAGGTAGGTAGGTTTATGTATGCAAAGACGGAGGTGGGTGTGTGTGTGTACACATATATACACATACATATACATGCGCCTGTATGTATATATTATGATAATTTTATCGCTAACGCGAGGCCGCCTCGGCAACGGTAGTCGAGGCTAGGTTGGGGAGCGAAGGGACAAGCTGCATGAACACCCCATCTCAAACAACCCCCCTCCCTCCCTTCCCCTCCCGCCCCACCCCCCTCCCCCCACACTGAGAGGGTAGGGGGTGGGTTACTACTCTACTACAACCACCCAAACTCCCCGAACCCACGGATCAAAACGCCTGGGGTTTCCGGCCTCGGCGGATATATTATACATACAGACGCATATGTATCCTAGAAAGGAACGGAACGGGAAGGGCTCGTTTGACCAGCCTAGGTCGAGCGGTTCACGACCGCAGCAATGCAGCGAAGGCATGGCGAACGAAGGCAGATGCTGCCGTGGGCGCCTCGCGAGTTTGTCTCTCAACGATGAACATGCCCCTCTGGCGTCGAAAAAGCTTAGGCAGATTCCTACAACTACCTCGGGCCTGCTTCAAACGGGCCTGGCCCCAAGCACGTACTGGAGAAGTGTGCTTACACGCATCATCTCCGACTAAGGCCAGCATTGCCAGAAATTCATCCGCTTTGGAGTTGACATCCTCCCGTGCTCGCTGCTTTTCCGATGGCAAAGCCATGCTCTGCGGCTTTGGAGCATAGGTGTTTAGATGCATGTAGTGAGACCTGAGCGACGCCGCTATGTTCGCTCTGCGCAGTCCTGCCCAGGGCTTCTACGGGCTTGTGCGTGGGCAGTGCAAGGAGCTCCCGGGCCAAGTGCACCCTTCGAGAGTCCCTTCTGAGTACTCCTCACGTGAGAATGCCCGGGTCCCTGCCGTTTTGCCTGCGTTTGCTTTTCTCTAACAGCTTGCACAGACTTGAACACATGGGCAGGATGATTGAAGATGCACACTAGCTTACATAGCATAAGCCCTTCAAAATTGAAGCCCGAATTCGATGTTGCTGTGTCAGCAAGAGCGTCACGACCATGGCATTCCCAAGTCCTCGCACCTGCGTTCGGGATCAGCTCACAGTGCCCTGCAGTCCAAGCTCGGGTTTTCGCCTTTGTGCCATATGCGTGGGGCGGCGAAGACCACGTTTTCCTCGGCCGAGGTCGGTTGGGGGGGTTGTTGTGGGCGGATGGCTTTAGTCTGCAGCTGAGGGCCATGGCTTTGGCCCGCCAGCTGCGGCGAAGCCTGGCAGGCCAGTTTGAGGCCTTGGCGCAGAGCAAGGGAAGCTGGAAAATTCTCAGGGCTGGGTGCATACTCCTTATGCCTCCTGGGCATTCTGCTCGGCTACTGCCTCAATTCCGATACCCTCCTCACCCGCCACTGTCCGCCGCTGAGCAAAAAAGAAGGTCCTTCTGGACATCTTGGCGGAATGTTTGGGCCCTTCATTGCCCGAAAGCTCAGTGCCAAGACGGCCCAAGATTTGAGTTCGACGGGCCTTCGTCTCCTTCAGGCTGTGGTTTCGATCACTCTGATCTGCGCAAGTTGGAGCTCAGATAAACCAAGTATCAATGGCTCCGAGTGTGTGTGTGTGTGTGGCTGAAGGCGGAGTCTATGTCGTTCACATCATGAGCAAGACATTCTCCTCACAAGAAAGTGCAGGCCCTCCACCAAAACTGGTCGATGCTTTTTAGCGCTTTGTCGAGTAGTGTCGTTGCCACAGGTCAGCATGTGGTTCTGGCTTTCGTGTGGCTGATAGCGGTGGTCTCACTTCCACAAAGCCTTTGCATTGTTTGAACTAGGGGGGACCTCAAAGTACGGGCCCAGGTCTTGGCCGTGATGCTCGCAGTGGGCATGGGTCCGACACAGGTCGCGGTGGAGCTGAACCTCGCCGAAGACCCTGTGGCCTTTCTCTCGTCTATTGTGGGGAATTACTGCTTGTCTCCTCCTTGAGGTTTCAGACCTGCACGGGGTCAGTGTTTGTGCAGGGCACCCAGACCGCGGCTGCCCAGCCTCTCAAGCCTTCGTGGTGCACTCCAGAACTGGAGCGACTGGAGCGACACCGGTGGTGGGGCAACGAGCTTGGCTTGAGAACCCCCAACGCCCCGATGGCGCTCCCCTAAACTCTACCCTCTTGCCCCGTCTCAAGGTTTTTTTCCGAGATGGCAGCACGCTGCTTGGCGACAGCACCGGGCACAGCTGACGGCGTGCCTTGCGCCGAAATCAGTGCCAAATGCACATGAGCGAACAACTAGGCAGAGAAGAGCTGCCCATCTCCCACGTGACGGTGGATAAATGTGACTTTCAAGGTTTCCGCCGGGCGCCTAGTTGACCAGCTTCCGCCCTCCGTCGTATCGCGCAAACAGACTTTGGCACAACCCCTGCAACCCGATGCAAAGGAGTGCTGTTCCCTTTAGCCTTCCGTACTGCAGCCACACCAGCCCAAGCTCCAGACTTCAGGCAGACAAGGCTTTACGCGCTCCGAAGTCTGCTTTCCCCCCCTGTGTTTGACACACACTAGCACTCGCGTCATGATGCCATGGAAGTGCCGTTCCTCCGAATGGCGGACCCAGGCCACGCTTCTGTTTTCGGAGTAAAGAGAGTGATTTCGGTATTGTAAAGATGTCCGCAAGCTTCCAAAGCCCATCCCAAAACCAAGTGGCTGTTGTAGTTTGCAGGCTGCGTCAGTGCAACCCTGAACTGCCGGGAGTTGCACTTGGAAGGCTCGGATTGCTCCAGCGTCGAAGAGCTCGACAACATGATTTAGTCCGTAGCGTCTATGAGTGGTTTTGTGAGACAACAACATGCACGCAGGCATCAAGCCGCTTCGGGTGGTACATGAGACCCAGGAGGCGGGCAAGCGGCCAGTGGTGCGCAGTGTCTGCAGTCTGGAGTCCTTCGAATGAGCTCGAATGCTTTCCCGCAGCGCTTTGCCAGGAGTTGCAACCGGACTCAGTAGACCAAGCCTCTGGAGGGCTGCTTTGGGAGGCGCCTGGCTTTTGGGATTCGTGACAGGAAAAATGCCAGCGGAAATTCGGCCCCCGAGCGAGGGCGCCCTGGATTTGGCACGGCACCTTGCGGAAGGCGGCCTCGAGAGGCCGAAAGCGGAGAGAGAGAGAGAGAGACAGAGATCCTTATTCTCCTTCCGAAGATAAATTGTATGTATGTATATATATATATAGATGCACATCTATGTGTATGTGTATATATAACATCATAATATATATATATATATACATATGTAATATTATAGATATATAATATTACATATATATATAGTATAAATAAATAAATACAATAGAACAAACCAAAATAATATTATATATATATGTGTATATATGTATATATATATATATCTATCTATCTATCTATCTATCTATCTATCTGAGACTCTCGATAGGAGGGAGCCGGCCTCCGGCTCTCCGGGCCGAGCGCCGGAGGCCGGGGCTCGTTGCTTGGAGCTCGGGGCGGCTCGTTGCTTGGAGCTCGGGGCCGGGCACGGGTTGCCCGGTTTGGTGGCTTTGCGCCACGGCTACCGCGTGGACTTCCACGACCTCAGCGCCCGAACCGCGCTTCGAGAAGTCTTGGTCTTGGGCTCACAGGCTCAGGGTCACTTCACTACTCCTGTCTACTTTGACTAGTGCTGGGATGGCACAGCATCGGTTCTTCGCGAGAAGGGGCTCGGACTGGAGATTTTGCAGGTCAGAGGGGACAGCTGTAGCAGACATGCAGCACGAGCTGGTCGTCGAAGTCAATGAAACACGATGCTTCAAGTTGTCTGCCTCCAAGTTGTGCTCAGACGCTGCCGCAGTCTGCTCGAGCAGCATTCGCTGACGGTAGTGTCAGAACACGATAATAAAGTCCGTCAGCGAAGATCTGCAAGACCTAAGCAGCTTGTTGCATTGGTCTCGCAGACTCTGCGCTTCTGAGATGAAGCCCAGGCGAAAGCACTCTGCGCCACATCACTGCCGCCAACTGTGCTGCCAATGACATCCAGATCGGCTTGCCGGATGAAACAGGAGTGAGTGCTCACTAGTTAGCTTCCGACCTGCGAGCCGAGCCCTAAGTAAGCCGTGAGGGAATTCATTACACGTTGTTGGCGTTTGCAGGAACGGATCCTGATCCGCCTGCTCGCTTCGTTGCCGGTGACTGGAAGGTGCTGAAGCAGAAGGCCACAGATCATTTGACACTCAGACGTGACTCTGCTCTAGATGCAGCAGTTGAGTCACTAAACAGGCCAGGCAGGACCGTGTCAGGTAGGGTTTCTGAGCTCTGCTCCGCTCACCCTCTGTGCAGAGGTCGGAAAAGTCGATTTCCACAAAATTTGCAAAAAGCCCCACCAACAACAAGAGAGCAGCTGCCTCCCACCCCTTCTCACATGCGCGCACGCGCACACAGAGAGACGCAGAGACACGCGCACACACACACACACAGCCACACACAGCCACACACAGGCACACACAGAGACACACAGGCACACACAGGCACACACAGGCACGCACGCGCACGCGCACGCACGCGCAC